GCACCACTTTCCCAGGAGGTTGTACAGGAGGTTTTCTTCTTGTTAAAATATCTCTCTCCCCCCCCCCCCACCACCACACACAAGAAAGGTGGGAAATATCCAAAGGTATAATAGAAAAATAATTTATTGTATTTTATTTTAAAAGTTTATTCATTGTGTCACTGTTTCCAGTGGAAAAAGGCATGTATAAAGATTAATTACTCAACAGTGTTATAATCTAAAAAGGAAAGAACAGAAAGTCAATGTTTTGGGCAAACTTTTTTTTTAAAAAAAACAAACACCTACATGTTTTCCTTCTGTGAATTAGTACAGCTCTTGTTTTTAGAATCACTAAACATCCTCTAGCAGATAAGGTAATTCTGCACAGACCTGCAGAGGAGGAGAATCACTGCGCCGAGCAAAAAGTATCATACAACATCATCGCAGCAAGACTCCAGACTGTCTTCAAGGGGTAAGATTTAGAGAGGTGCAAAATTATCTTGGGGAATTTTATGAGACCTGCTCATAAAATTCGTCTTCTTGTTTCCCCCCGAAAGAATCCTCCAGGGTTGCACCAAGACACCACATTGCCAAAGCAACATTCAGCAGCATAAGGCTTGCAGTGCTATGCGCATCCACCTGCAAGGAAGCCTCTGATAACTCAGGGGGACTTACTTCTGAGTAGACATGCAGAGGCTCAGAGTGTGCATTTGACTTGATTTATTCCACTGAAATCCACCAGGGCTGCTGCAGCTGGCTTTGGAGCAGGTTTAAGGTGGCCAAATGTGGAGAGGACAGACAGGCCTCTTGCCACACCTCTCATCAACTTCCTACACACCATACATTGAAAGCACATTATGGCTTCCCCCAGTGACTCCTGGGAACTTTCATTTATACCCCACAGAGACATTAGAGAGTTGTGGAGTTTGAAGGGATCCTGAGGACCATCTAGAGCAACCCCTTGCAACGCAGGAATCTCAACATGGGTCTCCCATCCAATTTGAAACCATACTGGACCTTGCATAGCTTTGCAAATGTGCTAGTGGTTTTATTGCTGCACAATTTGCCCTGTCCTCCTTTGCACCTCGCCAGCCAAAGTGGCCCTTTACTTTTTTAAAACATTAGAACAATATTTTTATAGCTTTTAATCATCTTATGGATATCTCCTTGATAGCTTCAGAGAGGCAACCCAGAAGCAAAATGGATCATCAACTGGCGGCTCCGAGAGAGAGGCTGAGCCAGACGCAGGAAAAGGGCTTGTCTACTTCTTCTACTGACCTGTGTGGTAGGCAACACCTCCTGAAGTTCCCTCGGCTACACAACTACTTTGGGGAATGGACTAGATGACCATTTGGGTACCCTTCCAACTCTGTGATTCTATGATTAAAGGTACATAAGCCTCGTCCTCATTTGCTGCTTCTGGGCCACCCTACTGAGAGCACTGCCTGCACTCCCTGCCCCCACCAAACAATATGCCAGAGGCGACAAGTGCAGAAGGAGTGGCATCTGAGGCAAGGGGACTTGCTTAGCACTCCTTTTCTTGGGTGGATCAGAACATCTATGGCCCACCAGGGCTCTCCCCAAAACTACCTGCCAACTCAGACCCCTCACACGAGAGCAATTTAAAAAGTGATCCAGGTGAAACTCCCCCATGCCTGTGCTGCAGTAACCCTCTCAGCAGGTGAGCAGGTGTGATCTCTGTGCTGCCACAGTTCCTGCTGCAGCTCACTCTTCAGCTACAGACAGGTATTCTCCCCATCACCACCTCCCAGGAAAGTGAGAGATACCCTTTGCTCCTTTCTCAAGCTCCGCCCCCCATCCTCCTGTTGTTCTCTTCCCACAGCAGATGAGTCATTTGTCTGCAACCCTCTTTCAAAGCATCTCTCCTAATATTCTGTCTCAAATCAAAAGCCTTTCCCAGTTGGCAGCCGAACAAATCCTGCAGAGTCTCCGGAAAGCAAACACAGACTCTCAAGGAGGAATCCGTCCACTGCCTTCAGAAACCCGCAACTCTCTTACGCTTCGTCAAATGCTCTGCTTTTGCCCATCCAATGGAGCCACTGATACAGTCAAAGATTGGGGTGGGGGAGGAATCGCTGGGGGCGAGAAGATCGCCCTGCACTCTCCGACTCTCTCTGCCTTTCTCTCTGGCCTGCGGGGGGGGGGGGCTGCCTGTTGAGGCATATATGAACACATTTGTGCAAGAATACACACACGCGAGGGGGGGGGTCGGGGCAGCAAGCAGCCAATTGCTGTTATTCTTTGTTAAGGCTTGTTGATTGATGGTGCTGATTCTTGGTAGTATTAGCATTTCAGTTTCTGATCTGCCCTTCACCCAAGAGGTCCCAGGGTGGGCATCAGAAATTTAAAACACACAATATTAAAATCAGTGCAAAGCTAATGCAATTAAAAGAAGGTGACGGGTCCTAAAATATAAAGATCTCTGGTGCCAGGATGAAGAGGTGCATCTTCAGTGTTTGGATCAGTTCAGGTTGGAAACATCAATGTCATTCCTGCACCTGACAAAATGGAAAGCCCTTTCTTAGGGAAAGCCTGAGTCTGTGCACAGATTATTGCTTGTGTGGGAGGAGGAGGGGTCTTCCCAGAGAACCTGCATGCAGAGGCATCATTGGTAATGGTGTGCTCCCTCATCCTCCTATGGTTGCTGAGCAAATAGGTTCAACAGGTTTTGGTAGTGCTTCAAAAACCTGCCTCACCCATTGGAACTGGGCTTGCAGCTGACAATATAAAAATGAGCATGCTGCAGCAAACATTGCCTCCCCCAGACCACTCTTAAAGAAGACTTAAAGAAGACTCCTCATTCTCCAGCCCATTCTCCAGTATATGGGGAATATACAGTATATGGGACACACCAGATCAATCTGAGCAAGCATACTCAGGCAGTGCTGCTCTCCATTCCTATATGGATAAGCAAGCCAATATGGGGAGGTGAACCAGAAACCTCACTAACCCATCAGCCTGGGACCACAAATGGACAGGCCATAGCTCAGAAGCAAAGCATTTGCCTAGCACACCAAATGTCCCAGGTTCAATCACCAGCATCTTCCCTTGATATCAGGCAACAGGGAAGGAACTTTGCTCAAGATCGTAAGCTGCTGGATTTCAGAGCAGATGAGAATGCTGGGATAGAAATGCAGACCAGCGTTCTAAGTTCAGATGCTCAGCCCCACACACATGGCTGTGGGCTTGGCTTGGGTGCAGATTTAATGTTCTGTTTGCCTCAGACACATGTTGAAAGCTGGTTTTATTAGGTAAAAGGACCCAAGTTCAAATCCAGCCCATTCCACCTATGAAAACACAGCTGCTATAATATTGCCCAATCTGTTTTTGCCCTGCCAGGCTGTATTCACGCATGAGGCATAAGAAAGCCATTGCCCTCAATTTCCCACAATTGCAATTCAAAAGCAAAATCTATCCTGGCTAGAACATACTTTCTAATGAGAACTGGTGCTTTCTACCCCACATTGGAAATGTCCACACATGCGCTGAAACAGTGTGAGGCTCATGGCCATTATATGAAGCTGCATGTGTGAAACCTCCAGTCTTTTGGTTTTTATCCTTTTCCCCCCAGGCCCAAGTTCCTTAAACTGAGGTTTCATATTACTGAGGGTTGGCAATTCAGAGAGTGAGAGTGGATACCCTTTGAATAATAGTAATAGCAGTAATCATCCTCACCTGACTTTTCTTTAAATAAGGAACCTTAAATATATTTGGCTGGTGACGCTTTTCCTAGGATGGGGAGAGGTGCTGAGCAAATATTTACCTATTAAATTTCTGTGGGTCAGGGCTCTTAAGGACACAGGAGCAAGCCCAGTTAGAAAAAGACAGCATGCATACCCACCATAGGCACCCCGCTGAGGTGTGCTCTGAGCTCCTGCCTATATCCAGGCTGACAGCATGGGCTCAACTGCACAACTGCAGAAGCAAAATGCCAGGAGCTCTCTATACCCAGCCCCCTGTGGGCCACTTCAAGGTGGCTTGGGGTGGGGGCTCCAGAGGATCACAGGTGAAGTGCAGGACAGGCATGCTCAAGCAACATTTGCTATCCCAGAAGGGGATAACACTTTGCAGTTGGGGTCCTCTTGATGCTGCTGTGCTACAACTCCCAGAAGCCTCAGAAGCCAGCGTGGCCAAGGATGAAGAGTGAAGGATGGTGGGAGCTGGAGTCCAGCAACATCTGGGAAGCCCCACAGGTTCCCCACACCTGGTTTAGAAGCATTGTGACAAAAAAAGCTTTCCCAAATTCCTCCTCCTGTTGTTTTAACTGTTCTAAGTGCAGGATGCCCTCACTTCCTTGCAAGAGTGGCTTTCTAACAGCCCTTGAATGGTCCCTGAATGTCAACATTTTTTGGCTTGCAAACCAGAGAGCACCGTTGCATGGCTGCCTGTCTGCAGACATCTGCAATGTACTAAACAAACTTCACGTGGACAAGCCAGGATCTTGGGGACGGACCAGTCCAAGTTTGACAGCTCACAGGAGGCCCCCTCTAAAGTTCTGAATTCAAATGGTGCCCATATTTACTCAGGAGTAAGCACCACTGAACACAGTGGGATTTACTTCTGCATTAGCACACATTGGAGGATTGCATACTTTAAAAAAAACACTCACACACATGCCAGGTCTAAATAGATTTACCTCTCATGGCACAACAAGGATGATCACACTTGGCAGCGCTTTGGACCTTGCTGCTGCTGCTGCTGCTCACTCACACACAGCATTAAAAATGCTCAGACTAGTAGTTGCTGCTGTTTTTACAGGCACCTACACTGCCAGTCCTACACATACCCCTGCCCCGCATTACCCCCATCTTAAAGTTAGGAAGGGGGAAGCAATACAGAGGTACCATATTGCTGCTGCTGCTGTTTTTCAGGCAAAGAAGAGAAGCTAGTAGACCATTTTCCTTTGCCACACAAGCGGCAGAAATTTTCCTAATAAAAACTTTTCTCTGGCTGCTAAGCATCACAGACCCAGACCATATGATCCACCCAGGTGGCAGTACCTTTCACCAAGGAAGACAGGAAGGAGGCAGCAGGAGGCAGTCCAGGGTTGATGCTACAGCAGCGTTCCACAAACACCGGTGCTTAGATTCCTGCTTCCCCTCTCACTCTGCAGCCAGATCTTTCAGCAGCCCAGACCAACTGGGCTGGAAATGCATTTAGTAATTATTTGCCGGATCTCAAGCCCCACCTCCAGGGCTCCGATTGGTTGGTTGATCCTGTGCTGGCCCATCTCGGCTTTAGTGCAGCCTCCCTCTCCGTTTAGCTGCTGTTGTTATCAAGAGCGTTGGGGAAGGCTAATTATGTGTTCTGTAGACAAGCTTCGGATCTTGCGATGTGCCGACTGGTGTCAAGGGAAACAAAGGAAGTTCTCCGAGGTTGGAATGGAAGCAGGTCACGTGCCCTGCGAGCCCCTTTGAGAAATGGTAATCATGTCAGCTCCTCAATAGTATATTCACGTAGCAAATCGCACTGGTGCCCAGCTGATTTCTGCAACCTGCATATTTTATGCAAATCGAGCAAGTTTTGCATAATTTATTGGGGGGGGAGGTTTGCTTTTTTGTATAAATTTACACCATTTCTTCTGACCATGCAGAGGGACAAGGGATTATTAGAAGAGACACTGAACTGCCTGTTTCTGACAAGCGGCAACAGCAAAACCTCCTTGAGCTGCCCCTCAGGCTTCAGAGATCTCAGCAAGTGTCACCTGCCTCTGCAGGAATCTGTAGATTTCACTTTCCCTGACTTTCTCATTTCCCACTTGAGTTTTCCACATTTCCAAATCAGTGAGCAATTTTCCACAACTTTGTTTCCTAAGATAATGCATTCTTGCTTCTCATTTTCACTAATATGTGCATTTCTATGCACACTTTACTCCAGTAATTTTTGGACTCAATATCTGGCTGGCGATATGCATCACAAAATTCACAGAAATGCACATTTCAATGGACAGCCGTGTTTTGCTTCATGTATTGTTCTGGAAAGAGTGAATTAGGTCAATTTGCCCTTAAATGTGTACTGAATTGTATTTCTTTCCTATCCTTATTCTTCACAGCCATTAGAAGAAAGTTACTTCTAAAAAACAGAAGCTGTAAATCTCAGGAAGCTGGACTTGCCACATAGTATATTTTCTTCCATGCTCTCCCTCCAAATCAGAGCAGACCCTCCCTTTAGATCTTCTTCATTTTCTGCTTTTAGCGTCACTTTTTTCCATTCTGAAACCTGGAAGAATGTAGGAAGGTGCCTTCTAACCAGGTCAGACTATTTGCCTAGCTCCCCCAGGATTCCCAATTCTAGCCTTCTGCAAGCTGATACCCTCCAGATGTTTTGGACTACAGTTCCACATGCCCTCCAAGTGTCCCAATTTTCCAGGGACAGTCCCAGAATTACAGAAGCCATCCCAGTTTCTGATTTGATCCCAGAATGTCCCGGTTTTCCTTTTTCCTCCCCTCCGCGTCTTGGAGAACAATTAGAAGTGGTGGGTGTGGGTGCAAAAACAGAGTCCGTTACAGAAAATAAAATACCTGCACCAAAGGAAGGAAACTGTGAAGCAGGCATATGAAGTCCTTCCTATAATGTTGAAGGAAAATGTAACCACTTTAAATTATTTAATTATAATGCTTCAACAGCCAGCCATTGATTCCTTTATTGTAAATGGAGCCTTACAATGTCTTCTCAGAAGTATTCAATGGAGCTTACTCCCAGGTAACTGGGTCAAGCCTGGGCAGCCTTACACTGCAACCCTAAGCATTTTTCCTCAGAAGTAAGTCCCACCGAGTTCAATAGGATTTACTCTGTTATGTTCCTAATCATTCTAAGTTGTTGCTGTTGATGATGATTAGATAAGCACTAAGTAAATCTATCTCCTTAGCCCCTCAAAAACCCAGGGTGGGTAGTTTGAGGTTGTTAACACTCAAAAAATAGTATTTATGAAAGTTAGGGACGAAGGCTATACAGTGTCAAATTAATGTAATTTGGCCCCTCACTTTCCTCATAGCATGTTTTAACATTTCCATGTGAGCGAGATGCTGAACACGCTTATACCAATGTGCAATCAAAACTCCCAGGGATGTTTTCCAGTCTCCAGATATTGTTGATGTGGCTGCAACCAAAAGGGATTTATTGAGATATTTATGGAGGCATTTAGGGCTAGTGAAAATAGAAAGAAGAGCTGAAGGGGCTACTTTTGGGGTGACTTTGTTTGCTATTTTAGAAAAACAAGCAAAGATTCAATCCCAAAAGCTACAGATATGGGGCAGAACCACCACATGTGGAAGTAGGAGCCTTGTTCTGAGGATTTGTCTATGAGATTTTTCCAAGCTATGTAGCTTTCAAGGGTATAGTCTCAGGTACAAGTGGGGGAGAAATTCTATTCAGTTCACATTTAAAGGTGAACCTACCGGTGCCTTATTCACACTTTCCAGAACAATGCACTAACCAAAACACCAAACTGAAATCCTTCAAAATTCACTCTTCTCCAAATTTTGCAATGCAGTTCCCCTGCGAAATAAAGCATAGAAAAATGCTTTACTGGGGTAACGCGTCCATAAATATGCATATATTAGTCAAAATAACATACAACATGCTTTATATTGGGGGAATTGCTTTTCAAAGAAATGTATTTTAGGCAAAATCACATGCAAAAATGTGTATAGCAGGAGACATTTGCACTATAATGCTTGCAAATTTTTATGAATTTAAAATTTAAAATTTAATTTAATTTTATGAATTTAATTTTTAAAATTAAAAACTAAATAAATGCACAAACTGATGTGGAAATGTGGAGGGCTAAACTTCAGGTCAAAAAAATGAGAAACTGGGAAACTGAAATTGACAGATCCACCCAGCCCTAGGCACAGGTATTACATACCTTTTACAAATGGATTTTATTCTCCGTATTCCATCAAGAACACTCTCAGTCATGAGCAATCTCCAAGAAAGGGGATAGCCAAGGCACAGGCAGGAAAATTGAATAAAGAGGAAAGCTATAAGCAGGGAACTGGCAAAATGGGCTGGAGGGATACATAAGGCTAAGGTCTCCAGAAGGATGAGTCCAGCATTTTAGCTGAAAATAGGGACGTGCTTGTACTCCTTTGAGTCATTCCTTCATTCACTGGTGGATTGGATTTCTAACACATCTGTCACCATAAGATCCCGGTGATGAGTTACAACAAATCAATGGCACAATTTAAAACCAATAGAGAGTATAGTACCAGGTTTCCCAGGCCAGCACTGAAAAGACTGCACTACACTCCCTTTCAGGTATGAATGAATCAGCCAAGGTACAGTCCATGTCAGTTTCACATGTGCGCATAAGTTTAGTCTTGTTTCTGCACCAGTAAATGCAGAAAAATGTGCCTTGTTCTTGGAGGTCTAGCGGTCACATTCTGGATTAGTTGTAGTTTCCGAGTCGCCTTCAAAAATAGAGTCCAAGCGGGAGATAACCAGATAACCAGAGCAATTGCATATATAAAAATTATTTCAAATTCAAACCAGATACCAATAGGTATGCAAATCTCTACTTTAGAAGGCTTGTTGAGAGAGGAAAGAGGAAAAAGCAGCCCAAATGGAATAGGCTAATGTCCCATCTAGTTCAGCATCATGTTCTCACAGTGGCCAACCAGATGCTTCAATGGGAAGGACCTGAGTGCAAGAGCAACTCTCCCTATTTATGATTCCCAGAAACTGAAACTCAGAAGCATTACTGCCTCCAACTGTGAAGGCAGAAGGTAGTTTGTTGTTGTTTAGTCGTTTACTCGTGTCCGACTCTTCGTGACCCCATGGACCAGAGCATGCCAGGCACTCCTGTCTTCTACTGCCTCCCGCAGTTTGGTCAGACGTCCAAACTGTCTGTCCAAACTGTCGTCCTCTGTCGTCCCCTTCTCCTTGTGCCCTCCATCTTTCCCAACATCAGGGTCTTTTCCAGGGAGTCTTCTCTTCTCATGAGGTGGCCAAAGTACTGGAGCCTCAGCTTCAGGATCTGTCCTTCCAGTGAGCACTCAGGGATGATTTCCTTAAGAATGGAAGGTAGTTTAGTAGGCGCTAATAATCTTTTCCTCCTTCGTGAATTTGTCTAATCCTGCCTCTTGGGGGAGTGAATTCTGTACACTGAATTAGATGAATGGAATTTCTGTTCTTATAAGTGCTGCTTTGAACTACTGGGAACAGAGTGAGCAGTAAATCTCACTAACAACAAAATTAATGAAACAACAGATCTCCTGACTTTATTGGAGGCTTTCTGAGAATTGCATGAATTTCATAGTTCATATTTAGGGCTTATTTGGACAGACAAATGCCAAGCCACAGGTTTGGGGCACCATTAAAGGGTAGAAGAATGAGAAACAGATTTTGAGTGCCACAGGAGGAGGAACAGGATAGGGGGCAGACAGAACACATGGGGTGCAATGTCTTGGGAAGGTAGCTCAGGGGTAGATAAGGATGGTTGCTTATTTATTGCATGCCCAGAACATAAATCAATCCACTGAATACAATCCATCCTCATTCTTCTTGTTTTCAGTCTGCAAATGATATATACTTTATCATGACCCCCTTTCCCCATTTGCATTGTGTTTCCTTTTTACTGGATGGTGTGGAATACCCTATTTATTTCATAAAATTTATATGCTGCTTGATTGCAAAACCCTCAAAGTGGTTTACAAAAAGAATAAAACAAGAAAATTATCAGTAAAAGCAATAGAAAATAACTACCGTATTTTTCGCTCTATAACACGCACCTGACCATAACACGCACATCGTTTTTAGAGGAGGAAAACAAGGGAAAAAACATTCTGAATGAAACAGTGGATGTATCATTTTTGTGCTTCATGCTGTGGCCACAGACATGTGATCTGATGGTGAATTTGGGGTGACCCAATGCAAAAATCCTGAGAATTCCTGTGGATCCATGCTTTGTAACCACGTTTTTGCACCATTGCAGCCCCAGGCAACAGTGGGTGCGTGATTTTTTGGGTGCAGGCTGTAGCCATGGACATGCTATGTGATCTGATGGTGAATTTGGGGTGACCCAATGCAAAGATCCTGAGGATCCATGTGGATCCATGCTTTTTAACCATGTTTTTGCACCATTGCAGCCCCAGGCAACAGTGGGTGCGTGATTTTTTTGGTGCAGGCTGTAGCCATGGACATGCTATGTGATCTGATGGTGAATTTGGGGTGACCCAATGCAAAGATCCTGAGAATCCCTGTGGATCCATGCTTTGTAACCACGTTTTTGCACCATTGCAGCCCCAGGCAACAGTGGGTGCGTGCTTTTTTGGTGCAGGCTGTAGCCATGGACATGCTATGTGATCTGATGGTGAATTTGGGGTGACCCAATGCAAAGATCCTGAGGATCCATGTGGATCCATGCTTTTTAACCACGTTTTTGCACCATTGCAGCCCCAGGCAACAGTGGGTGCGTGATTTTTTGGGTGCAG